GAAATGACGGCAATTCTTCTTTGTTGTCCTGTAAAGTCAATCGTGCAGAACTCCGTCCAGACATTCTAGGTTAAAAAATCAATTGGCTATTTCAGGTGGGTTCTTCGAAAATTGAAATTGGGTAGACCACACACTTTCCACTCAAATGTAAAAAAGTGACGTTATTCCTAATGACATATATATATATATATATATATATATATATATATATATATATATATATATATATATATATATATATATATATATGAATACCTACATATGTGCTTTCATTAGACGTATCAAAAGCAGATCTTTCTTCTTCACTAATATGTTTTTACGAAACAAATAAAATGCTTTCAATTGAAATGGGTTATAGAAATATGAGATGTTTAAGTCTCTCCCTAGTCGTTTTTGAAGAAAAATATGAAAGAAATCTAGAGTATCAAACAATATTGTCAGAAATCAGTCAAAATGTTACATACTGTTATAGAATTATTTTCTCAAGCTTATAAAATAGTTAATAGAGAAGACGACTCAAATAAAAAACAAGATTTCAGAAAAAATAATCATTTATTTCTAAGCTATACATTCTGACGAATTATTACCGATTTCCAACATTAATTGTGTTTTACCTAATTTCTTTTATATCCATTTCCAAAAAAAATTAAAGTGAAATTTCGAACATGTGATATTTGTCTATTTTAAGTGAAAGGAATTTTTCTATTTTGTACTAGGTATATGTTACCCTGGGAGGAACTTATGCTTTTGGAACTTCTGATAGAATAAATGTAATCCGTAACTGTTTAAAACTGCTATAACCAAATAAAAACCAAAAAATGTTAGGAATTAATTATATTATCCAATCAGATAATATGAATTAGGATATTTTCTTCCAACTTTTGAGCTAATTAATTGTATTTAAGTAAGTACCTACCTACTGTGTTTTCATATATTTATCTTATGTAAAGCTATATTAGCTGCAACTTATTCTCTCCTGTTACCAAAAAATACAATCACTCAAAAATTTGGCATCATATCACTGAAAACTAATTAAGTACTTGTCAGGCAGTTTGTTACAAATTAGAGAAATTGGTCAATACCTTCATTTAAACGAATACCTAAGCGTTTAGGAATTTTCGAATAAATTATTTCGTATCGATATATAATTCAAATAAAACTAAGTAGTTTTCTGATTTTCACTATAATTAATTCAAAAACATGACAATATCGTTTCACCAACACAGTGGCTTCATCAGATGTTGATGATAAACTGATCTATTAATCGGCCAAATCGATTAATGATTTTTTTGTGAAATTTTTTTTGGAGTACGTTATTGATTTTATTATCGAATGGCTAACTCAGGATATTAGAAAAATATCCCAACATAAAATGTTGTTTCATTCAAATATTAAATATATTATAATAGTAGGTGTCTCAGGATTTATAATCCACATATCACCAATTTTTCTATATAAAAGGAGACCTGTTAAAGAATGCGGAAAATAAGTAGCTGTCAGTCTTTCTTCTCTACGAAAAGCTTCATTATAAATTCAACTCCATATTTTCATTTCTCATTCCATCTACTGCAACATAATTTTTTCATTAACTGTCTGTCTGAGCTAATTGTGCCGTTCGTCTAGAGGTATAAAAATAAGTCGTAAAAATGCATCTTAACCATCTTAACTGTGATGATAATTAGACCAAATTTTTATAATGCATCCTTCCAATAAAAGCAGAAAGAACACAGCACTAATTAATTTCTAGATAGCTCGTAGGGATTTATATGAACGTAAACAAAGCCTACCAGAAAATATTGTCATCTAGGTCCTAATTTATATTTCATAAAAAGTTATAAATCTGTTCATTTAGTGAAGGATCTCGATTTAACGTTTGTTTTTATTGGCCAAGTCAGTCTATATGACGCCTTTTCAACTACTGTCCAAAAAGTGACCATTAACTTATCTTAGGATTTATGAGTTATATACCTGATTCAAATTAGATAGAACCATTTTTAAATATTTTTATCATGCGATATAACTTTAAGAACTCAAATTATATTGTTTCAGTATACACAGGAATTTTTTTTCATCAAAACGAGGGCAACTCATTGCGTTGTTGGCTGTTAAAGAAGACATCAGAATATATTTTGCACTATATGATAGTATATTTTATGACTATACCTACCTATAACAAAGATAGTGAAGACCCATTACAAAACGGATTTGAGATAATAGAATTGGGGTATTCCACTAGAGTCTGTCAGTAGGCTTCATTAAAAGCTCTTTATTCGTGGGGTGTACGTTCCGAAAATATGCCGGGAATACAGAAACCGTGAATATCGAATGGTAATTTATACGATATTATAAGTGATACGTTCTTGGATGACAAAATGAAAATAAAATATTGAATATCATAATATATGAAAGTATATAAAAAATTAATTCAAATGGAGTTTTTAATAATATTGCTTAATATTAGGTACGTTCAGACTTGAGCAATGGTTTAAAAATTTTGTAATTTTTTTTACTTGGCAGTTTTTGGCAGTTTTGGCTGAATTGAAGGTTTCTTCAATTCAGACTGACATCAAGCAATGACTTTAGCAATTTGTCTTTGAAATAAGACATCGTTTCACAGATGGATCAATTTTCATGAATAAAATCACAATGCTTATTAGACATTCTTAAACCTTCACTAAGAATTTTCAGATTAAATGTCACGTTTTCCGTTCTCGTTGAAGCCTCTTCCTCAATAGGCTGTGAATTTAACATTTCTTCCAAGTTGCTTTCAGTCAAATCTTCATCTTGCGATTGAAGCAACATCAGAATGTCACTTTATTATATCCGTCCAAACACATCTCGTCCTATGGCATTCGCAATTTCAGCTCTGTTTGCAGTCAAATTTTGAATGTGCACAGATTCTTCGTCATTCTCTGCAGTCAGAGTAGGCCACAGTTTTTGCAGCATGAATTCTATGTGTATGGCTTCAGTTCTTCCAATGATTCTTTTATGTGTACTATGCATTTGGCTATATCAAAATTCATCCAGCATTCCAACATTCATATCAGGATCACATTTCACATCATCCAATATGATTTTGAAGGTTCGTCTAATGTAATAGAGTTGCAAGGCCTGGATTATCTCTTGCTCCATAGGTTGAAACAAGCCATCATGTTGGGAGGAAAAAATGTCATTTTATATTTGGATGCATAATTTTAAGTTCGCGAGGTTGACCTGGTACATTATCCGAAACTAGATCTGCTCAATATTCTTTTTTTGTAAATAATTTTCAACTTCCGAAAAAAAAATTCCGGAACCACTTACAAAAAGTAGCTATTAGATCCGCGAATAAGGAAATCTATAATAAAATTCTCAACCATTTACCATCGAATTTGAAAGTACTGAAAGCTCATTTGTTTAAGAGGAGAGTTAAATCTCTGCTCTTAACAAAGGCGTACTATAGTGTGTCAGAGTACTTCGATGATTCGGATGTAGGCAATAATGTTTGAATCAATTTTTTGTATCATATATTTGTATAATTTTTTAAAACTAATGTTCTTCACCATGTGAAATTGTCTCAAATGTTTAATATCTCTGAGGAAATTTTTATTTTCTTTTCTTTTCAATCAAAATTGTATATTACTGTAAATATGAATTTAACCAAGATTTTTGTATGAACCAATATTTTTGCTCGAGGGCTGAATGGAAGATCAGACTCCAAACTGAATTCGGTCCTTTTGAGAGCATTTCTCTTAGTTGTAATTATTTATCAATTGAAATGAATGTAATTTTACTATGTAAGGAATGTTTCTCAATAAAATTATATTATTATTATTATTATAGCCGCGAATATAGAAATTGGGTCGCTCATTTTCAATTATTGAAAATTTTAAATTTTCAATAATTTTCATCCATAAGTTCTCTTCTAAAAGTAACTTAACCCTGAAAAATTCAAAATTTGCATACGGAACTACGTATTATCACTGCTTTGAAATTGGAGATATAGAGTTAAAAATAAAAAAAATCGAAGCGTAATTTGGAATTAATATACACGAAGGTATCTCAGGTGTAGGAACGAAATTACAACTTCATTAACTGCAGTATGTCATTAACTTTTAGTAACCAATAGTCTTCGAGTGTTCTATCAAAATAACATCGTAGGACGGTCGGAACTCACTCCTAAATTAGACAGATGTCCCCGTCCTCATACATTATAATCAAGTAATCCTGGGCGTGCGTTGTTTATCAACAATTCTAATCTAGTGGGCTCTTCTTGACTCAAACAGAGCCACACCATTGCGCTTTGATGCAAGATAGCGCTCATTTCCAGCAGACTCGTAATGTGGTAGCCATATTTAATGAACAAGAGGACACTTGTGATTTTCGTTCCTTTGATATATTCGGCGTTGCTTTCATCTATCGGGATACGCTGAGGAGTTAAAGTACGTCGGAATCGTTCACAAAAAGCGTCCGAAAAAGGTTGCGATAACGGATTATCTTCCAGGAGTAAATATTTACATATTCAATTACAAGTTTTGACGACTAGAAGGTTGATGTTAATTTATTGCCTAGATTTTGACGTAGCCCGAAACACCTCGTTGTTTTACCGCCGTTTTAGGTATGAATTTTTTCAGAGGAGTGTCAATGAAAAAATCGATTACGACATTTCCACACTGTTTAGGATATATTTTGAGGTTAAGCAACACTGCTATATTTTTTAATGATTATGTTAATATTTTATCGCTTTGAATGAAATTTGAATAAAATTCATTTAATTTACATTCATTTATAATCTCGTTGCAATGAGTTTATTGATTAAATGTTGACGTGTTATGAAATAGTGCTCAAATTTTTGGTAAGTGTCATTTGAAAACATTAGTTTGAATAAAAATGAAATCCAGTAGGTAATTTATATTAACTATGTTAAAATCACCGTTGAAATGTTTAGAAACCTAAATTCTTGTTCTTAATCAATTAGAAAAATGATTGAGTACATGACATTAAGAATTAACAAATAACCGGTCTCCGTTGCTCAGTCGGCAGAACACTCGACTATGGTGCGGTAGAACTCGGGTTCGAGCCCCGCTGAAGGCATGGGTGTTTGTGTTTGTCTATGATTTAAGTAGTTTAAATAATAATGATATATGCTGGGTAATGTACATTAATTACAAGCCCAGTAGCCGTTTGGAACCGGCGTTAAACTGTAGGTCCACTGAATTATAAAGTTAATTTTCCTTGGCAAAAATGTCAGCAAGGAAATTCCATGATTGTCATCACTACAAATTAGATAACTTTTGAAATTAAAAAGAATAGTTCCTGAATACGTTTCAGATATGAACAGATTTGAATTGTGTGATGAAAAATATGTTTTTTCCACCAAAATAGGACCGATATTCCATGTTTGTTCTTTCTTCTTTGTTACTCTAACCATTATTTTCATTTCAATTATATCTTGCATGGAAGTTATATCTCGAAGTTATAGGACTGATCAAGAGTTTAAATGCATTTTTGACGAGTTTGATTTTTATAATCACAATTGATATTTGAATAACTGGAAATAGAGTTGAAATATAATGATTTCTCTTCCATTTTCCTTGAACAGGGATTAATCGTTAATCCCTCGTAAACATCAAGTTATAATAATAATAAGTTCTTCATTCTCAACAGGTATAACACCCAACTACAGAAAATAATAACAATGTTGAATATTAACTAATTAATTAAAATGAAAAAGATATAACAAAGAGTTTAATCTAATCTAGAAAAATAGTAACTATCAACTACATTATAGCATTCAATGAAATATTACAAAGGACTGAGTCTAAATTAATTAATTTTAGTCAATTTTCTTTGTTCACATAACTCCTGAAAATAACTTCTGTGGAGTCAAAGTGAATGTCACAATTATTGGCAACTCTATTGGATGTATACTCCATAAACCAAATGGGGGATTGTATTAGGGAGTTGGTCTTCGGAATATCTAGGTGAAATAATTCTGTATTACAAGAATTTTGCCTAGGAACACAAAATTTCAAAGCGTACAAGAGAGGAGGACAATCAATACTATTGTGCAGTAATTTGTACAAAAATTTGAGTGATAAAGTGTCTCTCCTGCTCTGCAATGAGATAAAACTAAATCGACTCTATAATTCATTATGATTGACTCCTCTCTGTGGATAAACTTTATCGTCCCTCCAAATTATACAGTTATAAAGAATTGATACATTTCTTATGTTGTTTGTAATGTTTATATCATTGGACTTTTTCTGGGCAACTTGTGAACGTCCTTCCGAATTGAACGTTCGTGGACATTCCACAAATCTAATTTTGCGCATTTAGAACCGTTCACGACAAGGCATTAGGGCATTAGGGTGTTATCGGTGACAAATAAGGTCTAAATCAGTCGTGAGACGGTCAGAGTGATTTATCCGATTGCGGTGCCTTATAGCCAATATGTCACTATTACGGTCGACAACTCGCTTTAATCTGGATTAGACGTTATTTGTTTGCGTTCGGTGGTACATTTATTGCACCTCAACACCCCATAGGAGACTGACACCGGAATGGATTGATAAATACGATTTCCAAGTAATTTCTGGGAAATTTTTCTCTCTACATTCTACGTTTCATCGGAATGATTTCACTTAGAAAATGCCAATGTGATTTTCAAATAAGTAACCCACTAAACAATGTGAGGAAGACGTGATTATTCATATTTTTTGTGGTCCAGGTATAGTTGAAATTCTCATCGAAAAAAATCCCTATCAAAAAATAAAAATAAAAGTGTGCTCTACAACATGTTTTTTTTTCTTCAAAATTAATCGCTCTAAACTATTCGGAAACTATTCCTTATGCAATCGAGAATACAGCTTTTTGTGCCTTCTATTCAGATTGTCTTTTCCATCAGGATAGCTGTTACTTCAGTATCATTTAAGTGAGAAGACTGATTGTCTTTGTTCCCGTTCGTTTCAGCTATAAAACAGCGTCTTTCACTCGAATGAAAAATCCCAACTATACCGTTTTTGATCCTAGTGAGTTAATGGTACATTCTCATGGTGAATATCTATTCATTTCCAAATTGACAATACACATGTGATATTTAACACTTTGGACCTCTCGTGTCTGCCATCTACCCCACTTTCGTAAAACGGATTTTTGAATTTCATTCAATATTTTTGGCGTGTTCATTTCATTTAGTCGCCTACGACAATGTAACGTGGTAGATTATAGATTAGGTATTTTAAGAGATGCCTTAAAAGATTTTTCAATTTTTGACTAGAAGCAATAAATTGTCCAACATTAGGAACAATCTATCTATTTTGTTATTATGTGAAAATATTGGATAACATAAAGATTTTATTACAATTTTTTCAGGACTGTATGTACAAATTTATAGCAAGCTTTTAAAACATTTGTTTTCGAACTAAACATTAACATTTCGAACTAAACAGCTTTTGTAATAGTAATATTTTTTTATTCACAGAGTTATAATAAACAACATTATTATAGAGAACAATGCACTTTGTTTTTGTTACTGTATTCATTAATTTACGACTGCATTTTCGTAGTGTTATCTACTATCTACATTTTCATGCACTTAAATAACGAAATTGAAATTATTTAAAACGAAGTACAGAGTTGGTCGGCCATAAATTTCCTTTTTCTTTTTCTTCTATCTAATTATTAATCTGCCCAATATTCGAAGAAGAATAGTCGAATTTGCATCTATATTCACATTTTAAGTTCTTAATGCGTTTCAATATTTTTCACTGAGATGTGTTAGTTCGTTTTTCGCTAATCAACTGTGGCAGATAATTTATACAAATTTCACAATCAGCAACTGCTCAATAATTTTGCCTCATACTAACTTTTGATAACTGTTTTTCGTTGGATGAGGTATAAAAATTTTCCCCTGGAACGCACAAACCAGCTATTTTTGACTTTCTTATATATGGAATTGTTTTCACTCAGATCATTGAGGCTGATTCTTCTCTTTTCAATGAAGCAATTGTAATATTAAAATAACCTCAGGGTTTTCATCCAATGTTTCCACTTTTAATGATTTAGTCCAATTTTTTCTTCGTTTGTATACATTCTTTTACAACGCTACAGTGTCAGCAAAACGCGTTCGATAGTCATATACAATGTACATACATACCTACCTGAGTGTAAATTACACGATTGCTCTCTGTTAAAATTTATGTATTAATTTACAGCAAGTATTAAACAAATGCATACTTCAACAATTTTCAAACTTCGAAATTAAATATTACGAGGTCAATGTTTTCTCTCAAATATCTTTTTTGACGCGGAAACATCAATATATATCAATCTATATATTAGTCATATACTTTTTTGATTATACTTTCATTCCGATCAAGAAAGACAGCATTGTTTAGTTAAGAAGAAAGAAACATACTATAGAGCATAACATTGGCGTTGTTAGACAAACCAACAACCTCTACCTACTATCTGTCACTCCGGAGGTTATATTTGATAAGGTTTGATGGATCATAAAACATTTCAATTTCACATTGTTGTCAAGTTCCGATAAAGATATATTTCCCTTTTCAATTTCATTAGTGAACTTGATATTGAAAGGAAAAGAATTGATAAATTGTTCGAAAATACTCAATCGCCTACTGGTCGTTGAACACGCGAATGTATCATCAGCATGCCTTTGACATTATGTCACGATCTTTATTCTTTGGTTGGGGTATGTTTTCATTTTATACATTCTTGAAGACTTTCATGTTATTGATTTGCGTTTTCAGCCAAACAAGACTTGGTAAATATTTTAACTAGAATATATTTTATTCTGAATATCTAATGAAAATATGCTGTGAGATGCAGTACAAATCGAACAATACTTAAAGTAAAACACTTGAAGTTAAATACTTTATTTTTGAAATTTATGAATGTAGATAATATTTCTTAAAACATCATCTTTTTGAACATAGGTAAATATGCCTTGAGATATAATTATTTATATGAGATATGATTGATAAAAATTGAATAAAAAGCAGTTGCATATTTTATTCTTACACGAATAAAATACTCGAATAATAGTATAGATACACAAATGTGGAGATAACATTCGAGAAACATTAAAATGTTTCAAGGAAATCAACAATTTGGAAGCAACACAAATAGATATTAATGAAAACTGACATTAATTTCAATTCTCAAATATATTAAATTTTTTGTTAACTTTGAAATAACGTTTGGTAATTCTTTTGATTTATTTCCTTATTATTTTTTTCAATTCAGTGGATCTACAGTTTAACGCCGGTTCCGAACAGTCATTGGGCTTGTAATCAATGTACATTACCCAGCATATATCATTATTTAAACTTCTCAAATCATAGACAACATAAAAACCCATGCCTTCAGAGGGTCTCGAACCCGAGTTCTACAGCACCATAGTCGGGTGTTCTTCCGACTATGCTACGGAGATCAGCATTTTCGAAATTGAAACACCAGATTTAGTTTGACTACCAATATATCTATATCATAAAGATTTTTTTTGTTAATATCTATATATAAAAAATGGGCTTCCTCTGTTTTTCAAGACCTTGAAAGCACTAATATTTTATAATTAATCTAAGTAACCATCGTCTTCATTAATCTTGTTCATATTACTGAGTTTTTTTTTTGGGGAATGCAGAGGTATGGCTTCACAAAGTACTGAAAGAATTAGTAGATACTGAATTTGATACAAAGACCAACGATTTTTCTTATGGGTTTAGAGTAGAATTTCAATGAAACTGGCTAATTATTACAATAATTCAACACATTGTGATCGTATATATATGGTATCTCCATTTTGAATGGCACTAATTATTTTGAAAATGAGCTTGTACATATCAACATGACCAGTTCAAAATCTTGATACATGTTGATGAAATGATCCACAAAAAATAAACGTGTAATGTTCAATTTTGTTAAGTAGCGCGACGTCATTTCAATCTCGTTAACGACTAACTTTTCCGCTTTAACGTTTCGATTAGGACGTCATTGAAGACTTTAATTCGAGGTTATTCGATGGACAAAGGAAGGGTACGATGTGTCGAATGGGACATCCATTCATCGCC